GAGGTTCATTGACCACAGCTCTTGCACAGGAGTACTCCTACAAAACTAGAAGTTTGGCATGAAGAGGCTACGAAGTTGCTGATGATGAGGGTAAAAGTCATAGAAACCTGTAAGACCTTCTCTCTGGCTTGTACTTGATCAGGCACAAAGTCTATAAACGCTACGAAACCAGGAGCAGAGCAAGTGAGAAGCACGGCTGCGTATATCCACGGGCCTTGAAACAGATTAGATTAAGTGAACAGTAAAAAAAGAATAATACAGCCCTTTTTTGCAAAAGGAAAATGATTTTTTTCTACATAAAAATTCACCTTTTAAACATATTTTCAGAACATGGTTCTGAGGGATCACCACATAGCACCGGTATATAAACAAGCTTATAATGGTGGATACTAATGGTACAAGAGAGAATGCGAATATACGAATACCGGTCACCGTAGACAGCGATATCCACCTTGCTATATACGAGTCGGCGTAGGCCATCATGGTAGGAAAGAGCATGACAGGCATGAGAAGCGTTGTATACACAAAATCAAAAGCCGACGAAGCTAATTGGTAAATGAGCAGCCACCATTTATATAAAGCCATTTGCTTTGTAGATTTTTTCACAATGCAGAATACAGCATATACGTTTATTAGTGGAGTTATCGCAGACAAAAACATTAAAAAAGTTCGATATGCAAATGGGTGAGGGTCTAAATCATCGCAGTCTATCATCTTGGGTTATATGCAGCAAGCAAGAGTGATGCTGACAAAACTGGCTATCAAAACACCTGTCTAATAAGCAATTCTATTTCCGATACTCGCTTTCAGTCTGCAAATCGACTTTCGAGCGCAATGCACAGTAGGGACATAGGTATTGAATGTATTCTAGTTGATTTGACACTCAATGCCTTCGTTGACTACAGCATTGCTGAAACAATGGCAATTCCATAGCCGTCCAAACGCGCAAGGGGCAACATGTAGACGGCATTCACAAGCCATTTATTGTAGCATTAAGTTGTCGTCATGCAGAGCTCATATAAGTTTAGGTGACCAGACTTTTGTTATATTATGATCAGATTTGTCTCAGTCCTACGTCGTAGGCAGGGTTCAAGTGTAGGGTCGCGAGCGTCCAAAGTGGGGAGTAGAGGATTGAGGGATGGATTGACATGGACAGGGTCTAAATAGTCGAATTCGTCAGGAAAATGAGGGATATATACCTATATGACTACTACGATTGGAGAAGAAAAAACCGGTAAAAGTCGATGTAGTTTACGTAGTGGGGTCACTGTAAAGAGTGGATGTGGCTGTGGACAGCACGCTGTCAAGTCCATTATCACATTTCCAGCAACATCGAAATCTTCATCTCCTACCGCACGCCTACCATAAGCTTACCAAAGAGGCGCACCATGTGGAATGTGTATAAATTCCATAATCAGCATGCCTATCTTTTTAAGCCCTAAAATATTACCTACTTCGTATTATGTGTTTCGCAACGTTTGAAAAGCGACATCATAAATATGATAACTTGCTTTTATTACGAAAAGAATCATATTTTCCACTTAATGCAAAAGATACCCAATTTTTATTCATGCTAGAATTTACATCATATCGTTTTCAGATAGTAGTCAAATAAAATGTTGTCAAAATATCAATATTCGTTTTTCATCGTGAAATTTTCCTATCTATCGGCCACCACAAAATCAAAATAAGGCAAAGTAAGCTCAACCAATGTTGTAACTATGTTGACCAATAAGTGGAATAAGTGGGTGGAAAACTTTTCAAAGAAGAAGAAAGGGTCAGTCACAATCGTAAACCAGGCCGCCTGAGCTTCTGCTGCCTTGTGACTGAACTTAACCTGCCTCGTCGCAGCTACGATCAGCAGGCTTAGAAACTCCTTTAGCCAAGTGGAATATTAGTTTCAAACATTCTATCCTCTGGAAAGTTGGTTTTTAAGTCGTTATGTCACACAAGAGGTCATCATCAAATTCCGTCCGTTACACTTTATGTATAGGGTGGTCGCAGAAAACTGAGCGTTTAGAATTTAACAAAGGAACTCTTTGAACACCTGCTGAATTATTTATGAGGGATTGCACAGGTAGGAGTGTAAGGGGAGTTTCTGACGCGTGCCTTGGGCTGGGTCCATGCTGATCCGGAAGTTGTACTGTCCCGAATCTCTGCTGCATGCGCTCAGCCACTCACATGCGGTTCTGAGCGCCGCGAAAGTTCGCAAATCCGCTAATTAGCATTTTCTGACTTTCTTACACGATTTTGATTATAGTTTGCCCACTTTCATTTCATTGTTGCAGCTTGCTTCTTCTCGTGATGAAGGGAATTCCAAACTCGAAGCAAGGTTTGCGAATGAAGCTTTTCCATACTGTGTCCCGCGTAAAAGAAGTGTTTTCCTTCGCGCGTCCGTTCTTCTTTGTAACTTTCTGTAAAACACTCTTTTTTACATTTCAGAACTTCGCTGTGTTCTCGATCACGAGCTGTTTGCGGAGAGGACTGATACTGTTGCCACGATTATGGAGATAGCGAATTTTTCTTTGTGCTTTGATGATTATTGCTTTTTGGGTATTTTCAGACCCATCTGTTTTTACAACTCATACTGCTTGCTCGTTCGTTCTTGCCTTTCGTCTCTGATGAAAGACTCCCAAACTCCTAACTTGGAGAGATGTACAGATTGAAGCGGTCAGAGCTTGTAACAACTTTCAGCCTGATGTACACAACGAAATAGCGTTCATTCTTGTACCCTAAA